CACTGCAAGTAACTTTCAAAGAAAAGACAATCCCAGAATCAATCCAAGATGGAGGGCGAAAGAAATGTTACATATAAACACTTAAATTTCACTCAATACTGAAAACATGTACGTAAACACTATTTAAATCAAAATAAAATGATCTATTGTGACAGTAGCTACTGTGTTAGCTTAGCAACATGCTAATGCAAGACTCCTGTCACTGATGTTTGATCTCACATAGCTAGAAGGCAGCTGCTGATTTAGACAGCGGAGAGCATGGTAGCTCACTAGGTTTAGGAACAAAACTTTTATTTTAGTAAAATAAGATGGCAACAATAGGACAAAGGAGTATATTAACCTCTCTAGCAAAGTGCATTTAAAAGGTGCCCTATACTGTGACACAAAAATGAACTGAATTGAAAGGACAGAAGATTGAAAATTCGACATGGTTGAGATCCACGGGGTACGAAACTGTATTGCACACGTGCGTACAGGGCCCTTCACACAAGAGACGATAACGATAAAGTTCTAAAAATCATTTGAATTCTATGACACAGAAGAACGGATATTATTGGAATGGCTTTCAGAACATTTTTCCCCAAGTGATGAATGATAAAAACATTCACAACTAATCAGAATCCATTTGACTTTAAAGAGCTTGAGTATTTAAAATGTCAGGTCACAAAACTACAGTGCATTGTCCATTGGTGTGGATGCTAATATAATATAATTGTTACTATCTTTTCATAGTTAGCTATCTTTTTAATTCTTATTCTTATTGTGAACGAAAAAGTAAAAAAAAAAAAAATCATTCTAATTCTGTAATAAAGTCCGCATCACAGCTATAATGTTAACGTCACAGAGGAGCAATATTGTTGGAATCACTTTCAAAATGATTTTTTTCCAACATTTGAAGTGGCAGGTGACAAAACTGCAGCGTGCATTTATAATAAACAGTGTTATCATCCGTTGGTGTGGTTTGCTAATATAGTTATCGCTGCCTTTATAGTTATTGTTATAGTTATCTTTTTAGTAGTGTTGGACAACAGCGATTTATCGCATCCAAAATAAAAGTTTTTGTGAACATAATATATGTGTGTACTGTGTATATTTATTATGTATATATAAATACACACACATGCATGTATATATTTAAGAAAAA